ACTGGGCGCGGTTAGTTAGGGGGAGGAGGGGGGGTGACGTTTCCTAATACGCCTGTCCAGCTCATCCCACAGATGCTCAATGGGAGACATGTCGGGGGTATATGGGGGCCATTCCAGAGGATGTACGTTGTTTGCCGTGGGAAAATCACGACAGACTCTGGCAACATGCGGTCGAGCATTGTCTTGATGGAAAATTAGGTTATTACGTCGGAGAAGTTGAAGGGCATGTGGTTGGAGGATCTGGTTTCTGTATCGAACGGCATTGAGGTTTTGATCCAGGACCACTAAGGGGGATTTTACTCCATGGGAGATGCCTCCCCAAACCATTACAGAAGCCCCACCGAATCTATCGCGTTCAACCACGCATGCGTCGGCGAAACGCTCACCGCGTGCGATATACCCTTTTTATTCCGTCTGGGCGATACAGACAGAATCTAGACTCGTCGGTGAACATCACACGCCTTCGTCGACGCATCCCTAACCTATTCGGGCCATGTCTGTGCATCCAGTCAAGACGCACTTGTCGCCTCCGTGGTGTCAGAGGTGGCCCGACATAAGGTCGGCGCGCAATTATTCTCCCGGCACGCAAGCGGTTCCTGGCAGTTTGAGGACTAATGATTCTGCCATGAGTACCTAAGGTATGCGACGCACTCTCTACAGCAGTCTTGAATCTGTTGCACAAGTGCGACAATCGAATCACACTGTCTTGTCGTGCGGTCGTTACACGCGGACGACCGCTCCTGGGACGATCGGAAACTAACCCAGTAGCACGGAAACGTGTACAGAGACGGTTAATTGTACACGGGCCAGCAGCAAACTGCCGTGCGACAGCAGATTGGCTATGACCATCCATCAACATCGCAATTGCTCTACCCCTTTGAATTTTCGTTAAGCGTGGCATCTCAGACCGCTCCTGGGACGATCGGAAACTAACCCAGTAGCACGGAAACGTGTACAGAGACGGTTAATTGTATACGGGTCAACATTAAACTGCCGTGCGACAACAGTTTGGCTATGACCATCCATCAACATCGCAATTGCTCTACCCCTCTGAATTTTCGTTAAGCGTGGCATCTCAGACAATGGCGAAATCAAAATGCCAACGTAGAAAATTAATTTGGCTGAACTTAGAGTATTCGTTGAGATTACTTGTTTGAAAAACCCCGACTTGGCCTGACCACGCCGCGTAATTTGGACTAAAGAAGCTCACAAAGTCACACAATGACATCGTCACGCTTGGCTGATTTTAGGGTAGATTGTTGAGAAGGGAGATCGTTCTTGATGTAATACAAAATATTCCATTATTTCCTTACAGCTAAGGTGTACTACAGGTGGAGGACTTTGCGCGTTTCTTTTTTTGTTCAGTATATATTCCACATGAGCCTTCGAGATATTTTCATTCCGTAATACTGATCAAACCATCTTCCCAAATCGCACATACGTGGGTTTCATTTTCCCATTGTAAGCACGATGTGATCACGAAGTGCCTACTGTTTTGGTACATTGCGGTCACATAACTGTAACATCCATACCTCCACAACCCTGGCTTCGAATATCACGACTTGCGTGATAGATGTTGACTGCTGACAGAAAAAATTGCTATGAAGTTGAAGGTTGATAATGACCCAACCAAGTTTTGTGGCCGCTATCATGACTTAATAGGCGTTTCACCAAGTCGTGAAAAGACCTATTTCTTTCGGTTTTCTTATTATTCCTCTGCTCTGAGTTTGTGCCACCTTGCAGCAGATGTGTTTACAGTCTTTGAAGTATGATGTAGATAATAGACAGACGGGGGTCTTCTCGTTTCCCTGAAAAAAAAGATAGAGGAAGAAAGAGGTAAACCAATTATAGTCTGTTCCACACTAACTCAACAGGTCACACAGGTATGATCACTTACCTGTGTGATATGAAGTTTTTTGATCAAGGTTACATATCAAAATGTAACGTTATTTGTTGGTAAATATATCAAATTATGATTTAATGTTTGGGTTTAAAATTATATAACAATTCATAGACAATCAATCGACTTTGCATTCATGTAAAAAATTGGACATCATTTAATAAAATAGAACAATTAGAAGCATCTCTCAAAGTTAAGAATTAATCAATGCATTCACACATGGTGCATTCATTACTAAATTGTATTTACATATATTTTGTCATAATATTTCAATACAAATAGAGAGCCATCGCTTCATATAAGTGCACGTCTAGAAGTCAAATATTGCAATATATTGCATATGCATAGCAAATTCATAACATAGATGTATCTTTGGCACCCTTCTGATTCCATGCCTCTGCTGCTGTAAAGGTCCTAGTTTGTACAGTCAAGCGACTTTGTCAGATTTTGCCTTTAGCTCTGTTTCTCCAAAAGTATAAGTGCCGTACCAATTGAATACAAATTGCTTCAGATGCAGAATATGACTATAATTTCTTGGTTCTGTATCTTTTTCTTTTATGTGATATCTTACTAAATATCAGCTTTCAGATGCCAACCCTTACTTAACCTTACTTAAAGAGTTGACCACAGGTGAAAACAAAGGTGCATTACAGGTTAATAATGTCAATACTATTTATAAAAAAGCAAAAATGGCTAATACAAATTATCACTGTCGGGTCAAAGGTCACTAATGTTACTACTATTTTTGCTTTTTAATGATTTGAAGGATTATTTCACAAGTCGAAAGGGATTTTATCACAATTAATATAATGTCATTAATATCCCCTATAATGAATAATTTTCTTTTATCGTTTTGAAAAGCCAACAATAAATTACCAATCGCTTCATACTGATGTTATGTTAAGCACATTTCATCCATTATAGGTATTTATGTTTTCCTGAACTGCCTACCAATGTTTTGATAACTGTTGACTTGATCCTAAATCCAATAAAGCTACCATGTCCTCATTTTGAATTTTTCTTACTTGCAATTATTCATTAACGAATGATGCCATCAGTTTTACCTTTATATTGATCAGCAATCAAAAAGTTTTTCTCAGGACACAATTTCGTTTCAAAGGAAAAAAATCGGTTTTTGGTAAAGGGTCAAAGTTCAATTCGCTGATTTTGGTAACATTATTTGAAAAGCTTGTTTTTGAAATTTGTCGAACTATAGAGTATTAATATTTGATCTGCAGGATATTAAGATGGTTTGCTTTCAGGTTTCAGATTCACCTTGATTCACTTTCAAGGTCAGAAAGGTCAAATGTGTAAAAATTTTAAACCTGAATAATTTGGAAAATGAGTAAAGGCATTGACAAGTTAAAGGTCACATAATTGATAAAAGAACTGTATCTCAAGTTATACTAGGTCTATAATCTTGATATTTGTTCAGTAATACGTTCATGTGATTGGCTATCAAGTTTTAAGATATAATTGAACTTGATCAATTTCAAAGGTCTCAATTGTCAAACATGTCAAAACATTTTAACGACCTCTCCTAAAAAAGGCAGAGGCCTACGTCAATGCTATTTGGTAAGGAACATTATGAAACAAAGGGTTTAGTATGGTTTGAATAAATGACCTTGATCTACATCGAATATGACTATAATTGTGACTGCTAAATCGATCTTTAATCTTTTACAGATATGGCATTGTGTCATTACCTTCATTACTGTAATTTGTATTAAACAAATCATTCCAAGCTACTTCCAGTTCTATGGTTAAGATTATCCCTTTTTTCTCTCATATAGGTAAAGACCATCAGGATAAAAAAAATGTTGTGATCAAAGACCAAATTAGTCGTAATTGTTAGTTCTTTGTGTGATTAGAAAGTGGAGGTTTTTTATAGTCCCCCACCGGTTCCCGGGAGGTATAGGTTTGCACTCCGTCTGTCCATCCTTCCTTCCGTCCTTCCGTCCGAGAAGTTTGTCCGGGATATATCGTCTATTTTATTTCACCTGGAGTAACCAGATTTGGTGCACAAGGACATCTTAGGATGGCAGAGGGCAGAGTGCAAGAAGCAGGTCAATGTGACCTCAATTTGACCTATGCTTTGACCTTAACTTTTGAAAATGTTTGTCAGGAGCATATTATCTGTACTATTTCACCTGGAGTAACCAAATTTGGTATACAACGACATCTTGAGATGGCGGAGTGCAGTGTGCAAGATATAGGTAACTTTGACCTATGACTTGACCTTTGACCTTTACTTTTGAAAAGTTTGTCCGGGGCATATCTTCTATACTATTACACATCAAGTATCCAGATTTTGTGTACAAGGACATCTTTGGATGGCAAAGTGAAGAGTGCAAGAATTATGAGGTTCCTGTAACCTATGACTTGACCTTTTACCTTTACTTTTGAAAAAAGAATTGTCCTGGCTATACCTTCTATTCTATTTCACCTGGAGTAACTAGATTTGGTGTACAAGAACATCTTTGGAAGGCGGAGTGCAAGAAGTATGTTTGCTGTTTGTTTGATTTAAAAATCATTACCGGTGGCGGACTATGGATTGCCTTGCAATAGTTTGCCTTGTTTAATATGCTGTGACGGGTGCCCTCGGCATGGTATTTTAGTGAGATAGCACTATAAAGTCGGCATCAGATCCGCAATATCACAAGAAGGCAATCACAACAACATACCCTGTCTCCGGCGTACACATATACTTGGAGGCACGTCCTTAAATGACCTTAACTGTTGATATTACGTTAAAGCTGTACAAAAAACAAACAAATCTTGATTAACTTATACATATAATTTATTACAGGTTATATCGTACAAAGAGAATCCGTTCTACTGCTCACAAACACCTGATCACATCAATATCCCCGTCATAACAACAGTTGCTTACGACGATGACGGAAGAAATCTGTCAGATCCTAACTTCTTAATGGGGTTTCCTGTTTCATCTAATCTCGACGCTGCCGACAGCTCTTTAGACATGACATTCAACGGGACACACTTTATGGCAGCTTTCCCCGGAGGGTTTTTCAACAATGATTCTGCTTTGGTATCTGCTGACATCTCGATGATGAAATCCTGTCAGATTTATGGCAAATATGGAACTACGTCACCGACTTATAAAGACTTTGATTTCTATCTTCAAACGAATGGATTGATTTCAGTTACAAAATATCGGCCATACAACTTCTTGTTCTCATTTATAGAAGGAATTGTACAGTTGCCAATAACCCAAACACCAGTCATTATCATAGCCAAATGTCAAGGTAGGTGACACATTTGCGTCAGAAACTGGTCCTCATAATAGTCATCACCACTAAATGACTATCTTCGGAGAAGATCGCATAACGTCATACATATTTTGAACAAGGATATAACACCATTTTCACAATTATCACGATTTAAGGGTGGTAACGTTTCACCTAATTTTAGAATGCTAACACCGAAGCAAAATGGCTATACAACGTAAACAGTACTCTTCAATAAGTCATTTCGTCCGATTTAAACTCGTCACTTGTTCAGGATAAGGTAATATTGAGCCCTTGCTTTACCCTTTTTGAGTTTGAATAATGATTTTCTGAAACAAATAATCAACGATACCCGCCCTATAAATCAAGGTAGATAACTTCCCATTAGCAAACATTTCGTTTTCCCTCATAAGGAATGTCAATAGCAATGTCAAGTGCATTGAAATGTCACAATATCGATGATGATATCTGCTAATTGTTAAGAGATACTTATCATAACACAATATTATGTTCTTCAGGGTTTATTGTGATAAAAATAACCCTGAAAAACATAGTGTGATAAAATATCAATGGTCTACATGTATGTACTACTATCATATTTATAAAGGTTCTGATATCACCCGTTTGCAAACAAAATATTTTACTATAACGAGCATATGTTCATCTTCATTTATTTTGTTTTATAGCGGGGGAAAATACAAAACAAGGAGGCGTTCCAAATATGCAAATTCGCAAAGTTTTATCTCAAGTAATGGACAGACAGGCGAGTTGTTGGAAATCAAGCAAGAACCTTCAGGTATATAACAAACCGTTAATCAATTGTTCTTGAATGCATTGTGTAATACACGTGATGTGTTATCATACTAGATTTTGGGTATGTACAAATTCTGCCTGAAGAATTTACGTAGTTGATATCCTTCACTTTTAATCGGAATTAAGTTTTGGTATCCAATGCATGATCTCAAGAGGCGACAAAAGACTCCCTGCAATATACTCCCTTTGAGTCATTAATTATATCATAAATTCTATAAATAACAACCGCCTGTCTTTTGTCTCCTGTTACCGATTGGTTTGATCTGCACGTGTTCCTTTTTTAGTCTAAGAGAGTGTTAGAAAACAATCTATGACTGTCAAATGCTTCCGGTATAATCCGACCTTAACTAGGAAAAATTGAAACAATAACCAAATCAAACCAAACGTAATGTGCAGTATTATCACAGGAGAGCCTGTTGTTTGTTGCAGCTGGCTGTGGGGAGCAAATCCGAGATTACTTTAAAGTCATCCTTCTTCGGTACATTCTCAGCGAGCATAAAGTTGATACAACCAGATGTGATAGATTTCCAGGCGGTCTTTCTGAATTTCTCCGAAAAGCTGAAAGACACACCGTATGTCTTGGCAACAATATATGCAGTGCTTATCGTCCTTGTCATCGCAACCCCAATACTGCGTAAACAGGATTGCAACGACTATGTTCTGGTACATAATTATATGTTTAATAGTTATTGTCAATATAATGGTATAATTTTTGTCGCATCTATGAGTGACGATTCTTTTCATAAAACTAGGAAAGGATGCTGGATTTATGCACTTTTTTAAAACGTAATGCTATGTGTTTGTTCACAGTGGTCATATGAGCGATTGATTGAAAACAAACCCGATTCGACCTTCGATTATTATATCTGTGTATTCACTGGAGTCAGGTCAAAGAGGCAAATGGAGGCATTGGTTTATATCAATATCATCGGAACCAGAGGCGAGACCGGGGCACGGCTATTGGCTGGAAACAACAGAAAGGTATTGAATATGCGGTTGATTCTAGGAAAACGACTGTTTGCTCAAGAATAATAAAACCGTTGTCCTCGTTCCCCTTAAGGCCTCATATTTAAAAGTGTATAGAATTAGGATTCTATACATTCTTCAATGTAATATTTTTGTATTACATGTAGTAAAATAGTTTGTCTTTGGTCTCAATTGAGCTAAGGACGGTGATAATCAAATTTTTAAATATCTTTTGTCATTCAAATTATTGATTGCTCCGTTAGTTGACCCGTTTGATGACTAATGAAAAAGATCTGGGGAGTCCTTTTATTTTTGTTCTCTGACAAAAGTTTATTTTGACAACTTCACGTTGTGAAGGAGTGTTAGATATCGGTTTTTCATTTGGAAACTTTTTACAATGGTATGTCCTTTTTGATGAAAGCATGTCCATATTAAACTGAACAAATTACTCTTGAACAATTTTAATCTCCTCCTCGCGAAATGAAGATAACATTGAACTTGTTTTCTTGTTTACTGCCTTCTTCTTCCAGTCATTGTCAAGATGTAAGAGTAGGGAGATTAGAAATATATGCCCTCAAAGGTGAAGCATTCGAAATGACACATGAAAAAAATGTTAGGTCTTTAAAATAGTGATGTAGAAAATGTAAAATGAATTCCTTCGATTCACAGATAAATGCAGTTAACATTTCGGGGATTGCAACTAACGAAGCACTATGCAATTTTGATTTTTTTTTTAATGAAACCTGCGATTAAGATATTGGTTTTGCTTTGCCTGAAAACACAACGGTAGTGATCTTTCTTATATCACGACGTAGTACTGCACACTATAAAATGACGTTTTTCGTATAATTTCAGAATTTTAGCAACGGAACCTTGTGTAATTTCTTTTTGAAATCTGATATTTCCCTTGGAAATATTAAAACCGTCAAGATTTGGCTTGGAGGAAATATCAAATCGCAATCATGGTACTTGAGCAGAATTATCATAATCGACGGAGAGACGAGAAATGCGTAAGTATAATGAACTGGCAGTTGTAAGTTTGGTATCATCAGTTACAATTGTAACGGTAGCATACCCCCTTCTTCTAAATGACTCAACTTTTTAATAATATAAACAAGGTACAAAACTGTAATGCTATTAATTACAAAGCAGAAGGCTCTCATTAATTATTGTGATTATTTCCTTCAAAAATAAATTCATTGTTAATGACTGGCGAGATGACACCAAACGTCTGAGCTTGTCCGATTGTACATAGCACTTGTCTGAATTAAATGGAGGTATGCGTAAGAGATTACTGAAATTCTTATTTCCTTAGGTACATGTTGTATCATTTATCAATACATTCTACTTAGGATTCAGCTGAAATGCAACAAATGGCTGTCACTTGAAAAAGGCACAGGTCGGTCCTGGCGAACATTACGAGCCGGAAAGAAAACTGACAACGCGAGCAGCCTTTCAGAACTCAGTACACGGAATTTATTTGACGATCATCTGTGGTTTTCACTGCTATTCCGTCCAAGGTACAGCATATTTACCAGAGTACAGAGGCTGTGGAGCCTAGTATCACTATTGTTCCTTTCAATGGTGGCCTCAGCAATGTTTTATGATACACCAGACGATACTATTCCTTTTTTAAACGCGGGAAACTTCGAACTTGGGTATAAGGAAATATACACTGGGTTGATGTCCAGTATCATAACGGTTGTCCCATCTTTGATTATAACCTTCGCGTTCAGCAGAAGAAAAGTTCTTGGGGAGAAACGTTTGAACATCTATAATAATGGTGACACTGTTGGTTCCTCTGGAAGTCTACCCTGGTGGTCAATATTCATAGCATACACATTACTGTTGCTATGCATCATTTCTGGTTCATTTTTCACACTTTTGTACTCGTTGGAATGGGGACCTTCTCTCACTGTCAAATGGATGTCTTCGTTTTTTCTTGGATCAACACAAAGTGCCATCATAATCGACCCTGCAAAGGTAAGGGGATTTATGTTTAGATTTTGCAACAAAATGTTTACAACAAATCGCTTCATTTTAAGATTATTTATTCTTGAAAATGTATTTTTGAACTAATACTTTTTCAGTAGAACCTGAACTATCGAAATGCGCAACAGGGGAATATGTGATTTGAATTTGCAAGCGCGATTCTTAAACAAATTATATATGTTAATTGTAGTATGTAATGCTGATTATTATGCCCCTCAAACGAAGTGGGAGTACAGTTGTGTGACGGCACAACGCACCAACAATACCGTGCGCACACCGTGCATACATCGTTCACACACCGTCCGCACATCGTCCACACATGGTGCGCACAACTGTGCGATTTAACAATCGTTCGCCCCGTTGTGCGCTTTTCTCCGCACAACTGTGCGATTTGGTGCAATTTGTTGATCAATATTACGGAATGCAAAATATACGGAAGGATCGTATGCAATAATGTACACTGTATATATTACTGTAATTTCTCATCAAAATGATTAAGGTTATGTACAATTTTACAATGCGTGTTACACAGTGTTAAAGTGACCGTTAGACTGTCAAGAATGGGTTTAGCTTCTAGGTAACAGAACAGGTAAATAACAATTTGATGAGCGACCGGAGTTTTACCTGGCCTGTCCCTGACACATAGAGCTAATGTGTGATACTATACGACCGTTATGAAAACACAACTGGACGTTAGTATATGTTATTTGCATTCGTTTTGGTCTAAAGCCCCTTTTCACCTAGTTTTCACACCTTGGCGAGCTACGTAAGTGCCCCGGGCGGGGGATAACTACGGTCTCGGTACAGGTACAAAGTGACCATGTTTGTATTGCCGAGACTGTGTTGTAATTTTACATGGGTCGATTTAGGTTGTTTAAAAAACACCGAAAACACAATTTCTAAATTTAAGAAAATATAGATAAGCTTATAGATGTAGCTAGAATATAAAAACATATATAAAATCAAGTTTATATGTTTAAACACGAAACCGTATATATTTTTAAGGCATTCCTCAATTTACACCAACCAAGATTATTATCGCACAACATTCGCCCATCGTCCGCACAAATGTGCGCAAGCAACGATCGTCCAGTTTTGTATCGTTCGCACGTCGTGCACACATCGTTCACACACCGTGGACACATCGTGCGCACACCGCACAACGTGTTACGTTGTGCGATCCCACAACTGTACAATTTTGTTTACTCCGTTTCTTATTATTATCTAATCCCCCAAACGACTTGGGGGACATATTGTGTTTACTCCGTTTCTTATTATTATCAAATGCCCAAAACGACATGGGGGACTGATTGGTTTTATTCCGTTGTTTCTTCTTCTTCTTCTTCTTCTTCTTCTTCTTCTTCTTCTTCATCTTCTTCTTCTTCTTCTTCTTCTTCTACTACTACTTCTTCTTCTGCTTTTACTTCATCTTCTCCATCTTCTTCCTCTCCTTCTTATTCTTCTTCTCCTTCTCCTTCTTCTGACGCCGTAAAAGTTTCCGACACAATCCCCAAAACTATTGGCCAGAACTTTATGAAACCTAGAAATTTAGATATTGTTTTATTTTTATGAAAATCGATATATAGGGGTATAAGGGGGCTGAAAATTCAACCGCATAGTTTACGTTGTTATATCAACCACACAGAGGATTGTGATTGGTCGCGATTTAGAAATTGTTTTATGCTCAAATTTAGTATGTACATTGTTGGTGTATAATATGGTACTGCAATCCTTTTCTTTTGCTTTTCTTTTTGGCAGTTTTGGGGAGTTCTGTAATGGTCCCCCATTACCATTACTACTTGATTTTAATGTTTTACTTTTTTATTTATACGCGGAAATTAGCCTTTAGTGTAGTGATACTGTAAACCCGCGCTTTGTAAGTTTGAATAAAAGAGAGTGTTGTGTACGAGGCACGTGATATGTTTTAAACCTGTTTTCCTTGGTCAAATGTCTTGTCTATTTTTACTGTTGTCATTGTCCAAGTTAATTTTTGGTGCGTTGTGGTTAGTTTCGAACAGCGCAGTCAAAGGCTAGACGTGTTTCGAGCAACAGTTTGAGAAATTGGTATTGAAAAATCTGGATTTCAAATGAAATAGAATACTGTTCAGATACATACATGTAATGCCTCTATGTTATTTGTATGAAAATGCGATTGTGTGAAACCCCTTTTCATGTAGAAGAGGGTATATTAATTATTCGGCTATTCCGATAATATTCTCATTAAACGTACCATTGGAGATGTAGGAAATTTATATTAATAACCAAGCCGGATATACTATACTTCCCCTGCTACGTCAAAGCTGGATTTGCCAATTCCTCCACAAATCGACAAACCAATCAATATGTTGTGATGTAAAACTCGAACGGATCTGTTGTTATAAGCAAATCACTATATTAAAAAATTGGAAGCGAAATACCGTCAAATTCAGATATTTATCAAAGTATATTTCTTTAACCAAATTTCAGTGTTGCTGATTGACCATGTGTCCAAATAGCAGCATCTATCTGGTTTCTAGTTAGTCGACATGATATTAAAATTCATTATCAAAACACTTTTCGAGCTCAATGATAATATCATAAAAATTAGTTTTATTTTTATCTTCTTATATACGTTAGTCCATAAATGGTAAACGAAGGTAATTTCGTTTACATTTCACCATCAGAGTTGATAAGTTTTTAACACAATAAAAAACAGACATATAGCTAACTGTTCTGGCTATTCATTTCGTCGTACTATTTCAGGCAATCATACTCGCAGTCCTTCTAGTTTGTCTCTGTTCAGAGAAGAACAAGCGAAGTGATTTTTACCTTCCACCTACCTCTGTAGTAGACAAACAACAAGAGTTCGCCGGTCAAGGTAAGTAAAAACATATTTTATGGCGATGTATAAATAAACGCGATTCAACATTTTCATTTCTCGGGAAAATATTTCTTTATCATTTAAGCAAAGATATCAACGACACTGTTCTGTTATCGTAAATAGTAGATGTGTACCTCGTCAACACGACTGAACGTCCGGAACGATATAAAGTTTTGACTTGAGCAAATGTTTATGCATATCACTAATCAATTGAATATAGAAATGTTTTGTGATTCATAGCGTTCTGAAACAAATATGTTTTAAAGGACACTGTAACAGACGAGTAGCAGACTGTCCGTGTGATGAACCAGAAACCAGAGCCCAGAAAAAGCGTCGTTACACACTACACATGGATCGGAAACTAAACAGATTACTGAGGAGATTCGTGTTTGGGGTTTTATATGCTTGCATGGTTTTGCTCATTGGTACACAGCAGAAGGTTTCCGAAGTGTATGGGCAAAACAAGCACTTTAAAAACGTTTTGAAACCTACACAAGAGGTACACTAACTGTATCCACATCTATTATATTTTTTTGTAATATTTTATGTTTTGATCTCAAAATTAATTTGAATATTTTAGTATCCAATGAGTTAAAACTTGAAATACTAATTACAAAATACAGGTTAAAAAGATACAATTAATTTATGAAGAAATATGATAAAGTTTAAAACAAGTACTTTTAATCACAACAATAATAAGTGGTCTCAAAAAACTCCCACATATTTACATATTGTACTTTCTTCAACATTGTGACAATAGCTAAGCATTTATCTATGATTTCTGATGCAGGTGGAAAAAATGGAAGATGTCTGGCAATACCTGAACAAAGTAGTATTGCAACGTTTGTACCCTTCGGAGTTTTACAATGGTGAAATAAAATCATTGAATGAGCTGAGATTTATTGGAGACTACTATAAAATGGGGCCCATACGCCTTCGCCAAGTTCGAGTAACGGGTAGGGATGACAACAACAAAATATAAGTTAATATGGAGAAAAAACATTTTTATCTTAAACACGTGTCACGTGACGTAGATAAGTACAAATGTTAGGAAACAAACAGCATATTTATTGTGGTGAAATACAACGTATATAAACACGGGTGACAGGTAACGTAAACATCCATGGGTGACAGGTAACGTAAAAAATACAGATGACAGGTAACGTAGAAAGACACGGTTGTAGGGTAACGTAGATGAACACGAGTGAAAGGTAAAGTAGATATAATCGCGTGTTAGGAAATGTTAATAAACACGGCTGTCTGGGTAAAGTAGATACCTACATATGACAAGTAGCCTAGACCACACGGATGTCAGGTAATGTAGATAAACACGGATGGAAGGTAACGTAGATAAACACGAACGCCAGCTGACGTAAAGAAACACAGTGGTCAGATAACGAAGATAACACTGGTGTCAGGTAACGAAGATATAATCTGTTGACAGGTTATATAGACCACACGGGTGCCAAGTAATGTAAATCAACACCAATGACAGGTAATGTAAATCAACACCAATGACAGGTAACGAAGATTAACATGAATTACAGGTAACGAAGATAAACAGGAACGTCAGAAACTCAAATGTTTGTATTGGCTCGCCCATTATCATTTAACCTTTGATAGGACCCAACGCCACTCGACCTCTGTTCTGACTCAATGGCACTCGACCTCTATTCTGACTCAACGCCACTCGACCTCTATTCTGACTCAATGGCACTCGACCTCTATTCTGACCCAACGCCACTCGACCTCTATTCTGACTCAATGGCACTTGATCTTCATTCAGATTTAATGACACTCGACCGCTTTTGAAGCTACGTTGCACTCGACCCCTGTTTGAATTCAATGTCACTCGATTCTTATTCTGACTTACTCATTATATTGACTCCTAAATGATATCCGATCTTTTAAACACAATCATTAATAATGACACTATTTTGGACTTTGTCAATAACACAGAACACATAATTCATTTATATTTTGACACATGGCCACTGTTCTGACTCAACGCTTAAATTGATTTGCTCATTAACAGTTGCCCTTGTTCTGACTCTGTTCCTTGACGCTTTGATTGACTTGCTCATTGAAACCCTCTTTTCTTTTTACTTGGTCACTGACACACGACGCTTCGTTTGACTCACTAAATAATACCCGACACTTCATTTGACTCTCTTATTGATACTCAACACTTTGTTTTATTCCCTCAATGATAATCGACGCTTCATTTGACTCATTAATTTATACTCGACACTTCGTTTGACTCTCTTAATGAAACTCTAAGCTTTGTTTGACTCATTTGATGATACTCGACGCTTTGTTTGATTCACTTGATGATACTCGACACTTTGTTTGACTCACTTGATGATACTGGACAGCTCTTCAGGTTCAGTGCTGTCATAGTCAAAACTCTATCATTTCTAAACAAAGATTTTTTTAACGACACATATTACTTTTTCAAATTGAAGGCACTTGTACCACTCCATCATTGATTAGGAAACACGGCATAGCTTGTATTCCTGACTACGATACGGATACCGAAGATACTAATGACTACTCCGAAGGTGTGGAAATAAAAATAAAAATGTATTTCACTATATACCTTATGTTGTCTGTGCTGTTTCGCAAAGATGTTTTTTTTTCGCGTTGGTTCTTCAAAATAAAGGACAAGTATTAATGCACTTTTTCAGCATTGTTTTACCTGAATAACGCAAAACTAACAGCAACATATGTTTCAAAATTGTATACTGTGGCTTCACATGACACTGTTATTACATGCCTCTTTAAAAGCCAATTGGCCTAGTGAATTTACATTGCGGCCATGACGTCGCGTTTGTACCCTTACAACCGCACGGCAACATCGATGGCGGCATCATAACTGTTTAGTTCTATCAAATTTACACAAATGGTAGGATTTTATAATAATTAATCTTAGACTCCTATTCCTTGATCAAAATTAAGTTCCAAGTTAGTTGGTTGGTTAATGGTTGTTCCTCACTGTCCATCGCTGTCCTCACTGTCCATCGCCATTGAAAAGTATTTGAATGTGCCGTTCTTGGATTAATATCTGTCGTTTCGTACAGGTGATTGTGCTATCACTCCTTTATCTATTATATAATATTACGCAATTGAGTATTTCCAATTTGTAATAATGACATTAATTTTGTATTCAATTATTGTAATTGTTTACCTTATTGATTTTAGAACTTGATACGTTCCCGATATTCGAGACGAATTTTAAAGTTATATTTTGTGGGAATGCAAATCTAAGGATTATTTTGTTGTAGGATTTGTTGTTGACGATGTCTTAAAGACAAAGTTGAGTTCTAATGAATGATTGTACAGTTTCATATCATAAATAGTGGGATCAAATGTTATAAATATCTCGATGACATTGCTAATTGTACTTTATTCATAATTACAAATATGTTGCTGCAGGTTGGATCACAGCGAATATGTCTGCTTCATTGAATGACTACACATCGTCGTATCGATACCATCACAACCTCAAAGAAACGCCCACTTACACTGGACATTTCGGAACATATGGTGTCGGTGGCTATCTCGTTGATTTGGATGTTTTGCCCATTAAGACCATACATATTGTTAATAGATTGCGAAGGAATGTTTGGCTTGATGAACAAACACGTGCCTTTTTCATTGAAGCATGCCTCGTTAACAGAAACAACATGATTTTTACTCATATTCAAGTCGTATTCGAATTCCCAAGCACAGGGGGAATATTCACAGACACAACCGTTGTTTCATCCAATCTCTATCCGTACACAAACACGTTTGACTACATCATTCTGTTCCTTCAGATATTGTTTTCATTGATCATCTTGGTGCGGTTCGTGTTGGTGGTTGCAAAGATTATAAAAACACAAGGTCACTCCCTTTTAACAGTGAGTCAAGCAATCGAAATTGTTCATCTAGGAGTCTCCGTGGCTGCTGTTGTTTGCCTTGTCCTCAGATTCACCAGCACAATAGCCTTTCTTAACACTCTCAGACAGGAAATGGGTAAGTGATACTATAATTGTCATCTTTGAAGATATCTGTAACAAGAAGTATACGTCTGGTATGTTTGAATCTATGTAGATATATAAATATAGCTTCTTATAACTGTAATAGAAATAAAATAAAAAAAACAGATATGTAATGACGTAACATTTGGATATTTCTTGCATTAAGGACAGATCAATATTATTGAATATCCATATTCGAAGTGTTTTGAAATAAATGTAGAAAACAGTAGAAGAGGAATAGTGCCTATAACGTCATTTATAACGTTACATATTGACAACTTTAAGCCGCGAAAGACCAAAACAGATAAATCTTTTCTTCAAATGTCATTTCATGTGAAGCGTTTTGGATTAGTTTCAGCTATAAAGATATATATCTTTTGAAATAACCTCTCACTAGGATACGAAGTATAAGTCCTTTCAATTATCTTTGACAGGTTTCTACACATCCTTTGGGTATGTCTTTCAATGGGATGGATATTTCTCTTTATCTTTGGGTATGGTTACGTTCCTTGCTATCCTGGACCTGCTGAAACATCTGCAATTTAATTACCAGATCTTCTTGACGTACAAGACGATCACAGCGTTTCGCAGAGAGCTTTTTCATTTTTCAATAGCCCTATCAGTTCTTATTGTTGGTTTCGCATCTTTGATTAATCTGATATATGGTTCCACGGAAAGGGGTTTCAGAAGCATTATATCCGCAATACTGACTCTGTTTCGTATGACAATCGGAATGATCAAATTCCGCAATGACATAGATGTGCCAGCACTAGATATATTTGTCATGTTTGCAATATACGCGTTAGTCGCTACGCTTGTATTTGTTAATTTTTTAACAAGTTCGCTGAATTATCACATCACACACATTAAGCAGTTGATTAGAGACGGGAAGACACCGTTTGACTGGTATCTTAGTCGACACTTCTGGAATCGTCTGACAGGTTTATTCACCGTATGTGGTGTTGCAAGACCACGCAATAGCAGAAAGAAAGGTTTGTTGAGCTTTCGAGCATATTTAGCTTCATGATTTAAGTTTCATTTATGATCTCGTTAATATGTAATTATAATTTTTAGTATCTTGATTTGTCTGTTCTCAGTTGGAAATGTATTATTGATATTCACAGCTTATAAGAAGTATAAGATCTATAAAGTTCTTTGCGATAACAAATTGTTACCGTCTTGTTGAGTTATTGATATCACAAAGAATCCCTTCTACCAGTTATAATGATACACTATTTATTTATTTTCAATTCAGATCATCTACACGATATTGACCTACACCAGGTAATAGAAAGCTGCCTTTTTCGTTTTCTTTTTTTCGCCTTTTTTGTACACGTGTTCAATAATCCTTTGCCGTAATAAATTTATACCTGGAGAAAAACCTCCGAACTGTCGCCAGTAACAGACGATGTTATTGATATTTTTAAGATTTGAATTGAAAACCTCAGTAGAATGTATATACTTTGATTAATAGCTTATTCACTCA